TGGCTCAGGCCGGGCCGCGCGTCCGCGAGGGTCTTCGTGCCCCGCGCTGCGCGGGAGCTGGCCCGTGCGGGCCGAGTGGGTGCGCGTCTCGGCCCTGCTGCCTTGGGGTTACGCAGCTGGCCCGGCCCGGGTTGGAGGTGGGAAGGAGGACAGGACTGCGCCCCGCGGGGATCCCGGATCGTCTGCCCCGCTGCGCCCTTGCCAGCCCGGGTCGCTGCCCTCTGCAAACCGAAAACGGCCCAGGGCGAAATGCGGGTGTTTACATGCGTGTCTCCACCCTGGAGCCCCCACCTCCCTTCTCGCCTCGGTACCCCCCACCCCAGCACACCCGGGCCTGGGGTCTCCAGTGGCGCCCGGAGCAGGGGCGACCCGGCCACTCTTCCCACCGCCTCGATCCTGGCCAGGGCCCAGGATCCTGAGTCCGCGCACGACGGGGCCACAGTGGCGCTCCACACCCGCACGCTAGGAAGAGCTAGGGGAAGAGCAGGTGAAGGGACACAGACCGGGAAAAATGTCCCAGCCATCCCGTCACGGCCTTGCCCGGCCTTCCGAGACGCCCCAAGGTCTCGCTGATCTCCGGAAAGTGGCCAAGGCGCCGCCGAGCTCCCCAGCCTCGCAGGTGGCGCCGGGATCCGTCCCGTGGCCCTTTTCTCACACTCTGCTTTGATTTCCACCGACTCCCCGAAGTTTGCCCAAGTCGCTGGCCTTCTTGGGGGCGGTGGCTGAGCGGCGGCGGCTGCAGAAGTCGCGGGAGGCGAGCGGAGGCTCCCGGGGGACCCGGCGGCGGGGTGTCGGGGAGACGCTATTGTATCTGTGCCGGTGGCCGCGCTGGGGCCGCCAACAAAGGCGACGTCCCCGCCTCCTCCCCCTCGGCGCGGGGGCGATAGACTTGAGGCGATTCACCTCTCTGTGCGCGGAAACAAGAAGTCCTTTGTTGCCCGGTCGCAGGTTAGGGAAGCGTTCAAGGAGAACAAAAAAGTAAAAGTAGTTATCTTGCGGAGGGCTCGGGGCCCGTCGCCGCGGGCGCCTGGAGCAGGAGGCGAGTGGCCTTTCGCCCCGCTGCTCCCCAGTAAGGGTGCTGCCCGCGCGGCGGAGGGCAGGGTGGCGCCTCCGCTGCGGGACACGCGTGGGGACGGAGGCCTCCGCAGCTGTTCTGAACGCGAGGCCTGCAGGAAACAGGTGGGCGCGCAAAGGCGCGGGAGACGCGCGGGGCGGCGGGAGCGCCGGTGGCTCTCGGAAAACGCCGCAGCTTTCTTTCTCCACCAAAACCTTGTTTTGAATCCGCCCCCTACCGCGGGCCGCTTGTGGCCAGTTGTTTCCGCTCTCACCCGCTTGTGGTCGGTTCCCGCAGATCAAGGATCTATCTTGTTGGACAAAGACGGGAAGAGGAAACACACGAGACCTACGTTCTCCGGCCAGCAGATCTTCGCCCTGGAGAAGACTTTTGAACAAACGAAATACTTGGCGGGGCCCGAGAGAGCGCGCCTGGCCTACTCGCTGGGGATGACAGAGAGTCAGGTCAAGGTGAGCGCGCCCTGCGACCCCAGCGAGGACCCGGGCCCCCAACCCACGCACAGCCGCCCCCGGGTGGGGGCCGGGGAGGCGGGGAGACGCTGAGAGCAGGCAGGAAGACTCTAGGGTCGTGCGGGAAGGCAAACTGTTCCTGAACAAAAGAAATGACGGTCCGGCCTTGGAAATTAGGTTAATCTAGATCACTAGGGGAACTCGGTCATCGTTACAGAATAAAAGCATTACTGAAATCGCCCAGAGAATAGATCAAGCTACTTAAATAGCTTTTCTTTCTATTTATAAGAGCTTCAGACTTTTGTTTGCTAATTCACGCTCCAGTAGTTTATAATTTCCTAACATAGATCAGCATTATGGTGCTTCTGTATTAACTTGCAGATTAAAAAAAATAGACCCACAGGATCTCACACTTAGCATAAGCGAACCTGCTTTTAATTTAGATAAGGCAATCACTTTGGAAGAGTAGTTTTCCAAAGGAATTGGCGAAATTATGACTGTATTATAAAATTAAATTCTATTTTTAAAAGTTTATGAACAGATTTAAGATATTTCAGTTTACGACAATACTTGGTAATTAAAGTGTCACTTTCTAATTGAGTTGTACAATGTATTTCCACAGAATCAAATTTTACAAATCTTTCTCTGAAAAATAAAGGAATTGAGCCAGTTGAGTAATTCAACTTGGCGGTTTTCTGTATTTTCAGTATTTTCTTTCTTCCCTCTTTTTTCTTAACTTTGTTACTTTAGAGTTTGTGTCTGTTTTCATTAGTTACGTTGTTGCTCTTTAAATTAAATAGGAATAACATTAACGATGTCTGCTGGTTAGAGTGTATTTACTCCTAGACAAGCATCATAAAAAAAAATTTCAGAAGTGATTCTGCAGGTAGCCATTAGAATACTATCACATTTAAAGTTATTTTTGTATGGGTACAGAGCCTATCATGGTAATCTGGAGGTCTTCACTTGTCACCATAAATATGTCTGCATGGGTATAGGTGAATTATTATAGCCTTATTTTAAAAAACCAAAATCTCTTAGCAATTCTGCTTCTCTTGATAAAATACGTAGCAGAGAAGAAGCACAAAAAGAGAATAATTCAGTGTCGTTGGAAATCTGGTTGCTTATTGCTGCTACTTTAAAATATGTGTATCAGACACTTGCCAAACATTATGAATGGGCTTAAAAGTTTTTGTACATTAAATGACCATCTTGGTCAGAAGAAATAAATATTAAACTACACTTGAAAGAATTGGCACAAAATAGAAAACAAAGGAATTGGCAAAGTTTTCACTTTTAAAAATAACTGATAATTGTAGCTTTCACTTTAGATTTTTTCAAAAACTTTTTAAGGGCTGAAGAGGAAAGAGAGATCCAGCCAGCCAAACTACCGTGACGGTTTGAACGGAACTATTACATATTTTTGGTGTGTTTGTATTGGTTAATATGAGTAATTTGAGGTTTGTATTTTAGTGAAAAAGTAAGTGTTATGGGGACGTGGGGGAATTCCCCTATGTCCTTGTGTACATTCAGGCTTCAAATCGGCAAAACAAGCCGTGTCCAAAAGCGAAAAGGAGAAGAGCTAATTCTGCAAATGTGCCTTTTCCTACTAGCAACACAGAAAAACTGGTGCACTTTAGGTTGTTTGAAATTCCTTCATCTATGAAAGCAAACAAGGAGTAAAGTCACAGCCACTATGGGGAAATTTTGCGAATGGAAAAAAGTTTTCTACGCCAGAAAGCAGGAAAGGGAATATTGTGTGTGTGTGTGTGTGTGTGTGTGTGTGTGTGTGTGTGTGTGTTTTAAGCCTCTGAGTTTTGCTTTTTTTCCTCTTCTGGGAAGTCTCTCCAGTCCTGTGTTCCTGTCGCCATGGCAACGGCAGGCAGCCCCTCCGCGCGGGTTCCTCTTGCGGAGCCAGGTGCAGGCGGGTTCCAGGCCTGGCCCTGGGGCGACTGCAGAAGGGCCACGGCCACCGGTGGCCGTCGCTCACGGAGTCCCCCCTGTCGCCGCAGGTCTGGTTCCAGAACCGCAGGACCAAGTGGAGAAAGAAGCACGCGGCCGAGATGGCCACGGCCAAGAAGAAGCAGGACTCGGAGACCGAGCGGCTCAAGGGCGCCTCGGAGAACGAGGAGGAGGACGACGACTACAACAAGCCCCTGGACCCCAACTCGGACGACGAGAAGATCACGCAGCTGCTGAAGAAGCACAAGCCGGGCGGCGGGCTCCTGCTGCACGCGTCGGAGGCCGAGGGCGCGTCCTGAGTGCGGGCCGTGCGGAGATGTACAGATCTATTTTTCTAACCCAGAAGTGCGGCGGGAGGAGGGACCCGAGGAGACTGGGGTGGACGAGGAGGCCGCCCGAGGCCACGCGGTGCAGTGCTCCAAGGACGCAGCCGGGGTCCCCGCACGCGTCCCCGAGGCGCCGGCTCCCCTTCCCTGCGGTGCCGGGGCCCGGGACCGACGGACCCACGGCGAGGGGACCTCGATGCACGAGCGCCACCGCCCCGACAGGACAGGGACGCTGCCCCAGCTCTCTGCTGTGCGACTAAAGCGACCTGTTGAAGGCTCTGTAAATAAATCGTGAGTCACACTGACTAGAGGTTACTTTATTGTGAATATTTAAAATGTAAAATGCTTTTTTTGAATTTGGTATACAAAGATGGATCTCCTCCTTCCTTCCTGCCTTCCTTCCAAGCCAGCCTTTTGAAGACCCATCCACACGACCGCTCACTTCCCCCTTTATTTCAAGCTTAATTTGGGAATTGCAGGACAGAACGTGCTCACCGACCTGACCCTCTCCTGTCGCTCTTCTTTCCACGTGGAGTTGCCGAGCCTCAGTTTCCCTTTTTGCTCCTAGTCCTGCCTCCCCTCTGCCCGCCCCAAAGACTCGAAGCAGAAGTTGTGGGATCCGGGAGTCTCACACCGGTCCCTCGGTCCCCTCTGAAATTGCACAGTCGTTTGTTGCTATTTATTAGTGATTTAAAGAAAGGATTGGGGAGGGCGGGGCCACACTAGCTTGTGTTTAATTTAACTCCTTTCTGATAAAAATGCGTGTTAAGGTAGATGGTGGGGGAAACGGTTCCGGGTCAGAACATAAAATCCATTTAGTTGCTGTAATTGAATTTGAAGTGTTTTGTATCATAAGAATATTATAGAATATGTAAATTGTTTTCTTTTTTTAAAGCTAATAATGGTGATATATTAGCATCTTTAACCTTTATTAATTTATATAAGGAATTAGGTTTGTAAAGAGAAGACAGCCCCTTTGCAAGACCAGTTAAATGTAATGCACTTTCTGTTTCAAAGGATAAATCAAATTAAACAGTTTGAAGACGTCTGTTGCCTGGAGTGAAAGGGTACAGATCATCTGATCTCATCAGAGATCTCAAATAATAAAAGAAAGACCGCAAAAATAATGTTACATCAATTTTTCGGGTGAAATAGCTGTTACTTTTTTATTTTCTTTTTTGGAAGAGTCGGGTGGCATCTCTCAATGTCCTGGACTGGGAAGAAAAAAGGAACGCAGCCCACTGCCAGCGCTCCTCTGAGAGACTCGTGTGAGGGCTGCTGCTTCTGATGTCTGTGTTGTCTAATTTTTTCCTGATCGCTTTTTCCTTGCAAGGAAGTCCCTGGGGAATTTGGGAAGCTCGCATTTCCATTTCTGTTCGATCCGACCCGCCAGGAGCACGCCGGGAGGGAGCCGTGCATTGCATCGCAGCACGGCGGTGCTAACACTCCCCAACCCACCCCACCCTGCTTCCCAGATAGCTGAGCAAATTTGTGGGAAGACAGGCACCCTGCTGAACAATTCAAAGAAAAGGGGTGCAGCTAAAGAAAGCTGCTTTTAGCCGACCTGAAAGCCTTTATTGTTAAGGAGGCAATATCAGCTTCTTCAGTGGAACTGACAAAAAAATATTTGGGAATCCCGGAGAGAGGGCCGCAGCACTGCTGTCGGGGTCTTTTTGTTTTCAGACTCTCGGTGAAGTATCGTTACCCTCACCGTGTGGCGGGTTAATGAGCTTGTGTTCCAAGCGAGAAAAATCAATAGGATCAGTGGATTCCCTAGGCTAATCATGTTAGGGAAGGGAAGTGTTGTGAGTCTGTTTTGATCCCTAGGAAAAAAAAATTTTTAAAGATGAGAACTGAATTTTTCGCAAATTCAACCAAATGGAATCGGCGGAAGGAGATTCTTGTAGAGTACAGTCCCAGTTAGACGATTTAGTAGAAAGAAAGAATGCAAATCTGCCTCCTGTTCTCTGCTTTGCGAAGTCGTCCACAAGTTTCAAACTCTCCGGCATGTCGGTCTTAGCGGCAGTAAGGTATGCCTCGGGAACGAAAGGCCAAAGAGGACTTTGCGACATGGGCAATGTGGTTTCAGTCCTACCCTGAACTATGCCACTGCGTTCTCTC